TTTTTTTTTTACTGGGCGAATTTCACCTGGTTAATGCTAATGTTAATGTTTCAGGAATTACTGCTGCGTTCAATAATTCCTTCTGCATTTTACAAACTTGACTGTATTCTTGCAGGACAGTCATACTTAATATTCTTTTATTCCTCAATCTAGCAGTATAAAATAAAAACATGTAAAATATATGAATATAGTTATTAACATTAGCCCACGAAAATTTTCTGTAGAAAATTAGGGTTATGAATTCCACCTGACATACAATGACTGCTTTGATACTTGGCCATTTTATACTTTTGACATTTGAAATAACTTGTATTCCTTGGTAATTTCTTTTTAAAATGGTGGTTGTGCCTTGACTGAGACAATGAAGTAATTATTGACAACTTTGGAATTACGTTTAAAACTCTATTTTGAAAAGTATATTGTGTGTGTATATATGTATATACACATATGATAATATGTTCATTTCCCTTAATTTCCCCACCCCCTTACCTATGAATCATTTTGGTTTTAATCCATGTGTCATCACCATAACTATTTTCAATTCCCTTTTTTCATTTCACTCTGATTTTTTCAGGAAAATATTTCGTGATGTGGCGAGTGACACATTTGTTTATTGTAATCATAGTATGTTTCCTGTTTGACATTGTACATCTGAATTACACCCAACATACTCTTAGCAATCATAAGAAAAATGTGGGAAGTTACAAAATGCCCTTGAATAAATGTTACATTCTTTACAGTTGTGGAGTCACTGTTGTATATAAATTCAGTGGGACTTACCCATTAATGAGTGAACTTGAGAGATTCTGTTACTTAAGTTTAATGTGATCATACATGCTATTTGGTCACATAATTCATGCCTGTGATGTCTTTATGTGCATTCTTCAATTTACAGATTTTATTACTGAAAAAGGATGTAAATTCCAGTAGTTTACTAGTGCATTAATGCCACGATACATTACAAGGTAATTAACCAGAGCTGCCACCATCAATAGAAAAAATAGTCGCAGCCTTCACTGTAAACTACTTAATAAAAATAAGGTTCTGAATCAGCATTCGCTATTATAGTAATTTTTCTTGTCCCATGTCTCATTAATCAGGACTTTAAGAAAAATAGCTCCATCTAGGAGCACGATTATTTTTAAACCTTTCATTGTTTAAA